TTCTTCTCAGTACCATGCTGTTTTTATCACAGTAGCTTTGTAGTATAATTTCAAGTCAGGGATTGTGATGCCCTCTGTCTTATCACAGTAGCTTTGTAGTATAATTTCAAGTCAGGGATTGTGATGCCCCCTGCCTTGCCTTTGTTGTCCAGAATTGCATTTGCTATTCTAGGTCTCTTCAGCTTCCATATGAATTTTAGAATTATTTTCTCTAATTCTGTGAGGTGTGCTATTTGTATTTTAATCGAGATTACATTGTCTGTATAACAGTTTTGGAAGTATGGCCATTTTCACTACATTGTTTCTTCTACCCAAGAAGGAGAAATATCTTTCCATTTTCTGATATCCTCTTCAATCTCCTTTTTCAGAGTACTGTAGTTTTCAGTGTAAAGGTCTTCCTTCCCTTAGGTTGATTCCTATGTATTTTATTTTTTTGGATGCTATTGTGAAAGGTTTGTTTCCCTGATTTCTCTCTCAGTGAGTTTGTTTTTTGTGCACAGGAATGCTATTTATTTATTTATTTACTTATTTTTTTTGTACCTAGGATCAAACTCAGGACCTTGTGCTTGCAAGGCAGGTGCGATGCCACTGAGCTAAATCCCTGGCCCTGCTATTGATTTTTGAGTGTTGACTTTGTATCCAGCTGCTCAACTTAATTTGGTTTTTAAATCTAGAAGTCTTTTGGTGGAGTTTTTGGGGTCTTCTATGTAGAGTATCGTGTCATCCACATATAATAATAATTTAACTTCTTCCTTTCTTATCCTTATTCCTTTTATTTTTTCTCTTGTCTAATTGCTCTGGCTAATGTTTCTGGAACTATACTAAATAAGAGTGGTGACAGTGGACCTCCTTGTCTTGTTCCTGATTTTAAGAGTGAAAGCTTTCAGGGGCCGGGGATTCTGCTCAGTGGTTCTGCTGCCTGCCTCGCAAGCGCAAGGTCCCGAGTTCGATCCCTGGTACCAAAAAAACAAAAAACAAAAAAGAGTGAAAGCTTTCAGTTTTTGACCATTTAGTATGATATTGGCTGTTGGTTTTTCATAGATGGCTTTTATCAGCTTGAGATGAAGACCATTTATTCCAGTTTTCTGTCAGCTTTTTATCATGAATGGGAGTTGGGCTTTGTCAAACACATTTTCTACATCTATTGAGATGACCATATGGTGTTTATCTTTGGTTCTGTTAATATGGTGGATTACGTTTACTGATTTGTGGCCAGGGATTTAGCTCAGTGGTTTCGCCACCTGCTGTGCAAATGCAAGACCCAAGTTCGATCCCCGGTACCAAAAAAAATAAAACCACAAAAACAAAAACAAAAATGCATTTACTGATTTGTGTGTGTTGAACCATCCCTGCGTCCTTGGGATGAACCCAACCTGTCATATCTTCTTGATGATTTACTGCATTCTGTTTGCTAGTATCTTATTGAGGATTTTTGTGTCTATGTTCATTGGGGAAATGGGCCTGTAGTTCTCTTTTATTAGTTGGATCCTTTTGTTGTTTTGGTATCAGGGTAATACTTGCTTCCAGAAATGAATTTGGGAGTATTGATTCCTTTTCAATTTCATTAAAGAGTTTGAGATGTAGCAACATTAGGTCTTCTCTAAATATCTTGTAGAATTCAGCAGTGAATTCATCAGGGCCTGGGTTTTTCTTTGTTGGTAAGTTTTTAATTACATCTTCAATTTCATTGACTTATACTGGTTTATTTAGGGTATTTTTTTGGTACTGGGGATCGAACTCGGGTCCTTCCGTTCGCAAGGCTGACAGTAGAACCACTGAGCTAAATCCCCAGCCCTGGTTTAGTTTTAATACTTCTTGATTTTGCTTTGCTAATTCATATGTATGTAGGAATCTGTCCATTTCTTCTGTATTTTCCATCTTATTAGAAAACAGGTTCTCGAGGTAGGTATTGATGATCTTCTGGATTTCTGCAGGATTCATTGTGATTTCACTCTTTTCATTCCTAATTATATGAATTTGAGTCTTTCCTTTTTTGATAAAGTCGGCTAAGGGTTTGTCAACTGTACTTAATCTTTCAAAGAACCAACTCTTTAATTCTTTGTATTATTTTATTAGTCTCCATTGATTTTTATAATTTCCCCCTTCGTATGAACTTTGGGCTTGACTTGCTCTTCTTTTTCCAGAAGCTTGAAGTTCAACATTATATTGTTTTTTGAGCTCGCTCTGTTTTTCTTTTCTTTTTTCTTTTCTTTCTTTCTTTCTTTCTTTCTTTCTTTCTTTCTTTCTTTCTTTCTTTCTTTCTTTCTTCCTTCCTTCCTTCCTTCCTTCCTTCCTTCCTTTCTTTCTTTCCTTCCTTCCTTCCTTCCTTTCTTTCCCAGGGATCAAACTCGGGTCCTTGCGCTTACGGGGCAGGAGGCAGAACCACTGAGCTAAATCCCCAGCCCTCGCTCTGTTTTTCTGATATGGGAATTCACTGCTATAAATTTCCCTCGTAGGACTGCTTTCATTATGTTCCATAAGTTCTGGTATGTGGTATTGGCTTTATCGTTTAATTGTTCTTTTGTTTTTGGTTTTTTGAGACAGAGTCTCGCTATGTAGTTCAAGCTGTCCTTGAACTCACTATGTAGCCTAGTCTGGCCTCAAACTCACAGCTATCCTCCTGTCCAAATGCTGGGATTATAGCCATGGGCCACCATGGCTGACTTTTCGTTTAAGTGTAGAAACTATCTAATTGCTTCTTTAATTTCATCTGTGACCCATTGGTTGTTCGGGAGAATGTTGTTTAATTTCCATGTGTTTATGAAGTTTTTGTGGTTTCTTTTGCCATTGATTTCCAGTTTCATTAATATATATCAGATAATTT